GTGGATGGGATAGAAGAAGCTTTCGCTTAACAGGCTTCCGTGTCTAGTAGCACGGGATCACCAAATCCTCCAGGCAGGAACCTAGGTATGTTAACAATAAAAGAGGAAAAGAAATTGACAAATCATAGTGTGATGCTGTCCTTGGTTCTTAAGAATAGATCAAGTTGCTTCTTAAAGGACTCCTGGGAAGTCGCTTGGACCAACTCGGCCGGCAGCGAATTCCAGCATTTGACAACTCTTAAGGAGTAGAATTTATGTCTACAGTCCGTTCTGCTGTAATGTATCTCCAATATCTGGGTGTTACCCCTTAGGTTTTTATTGGGACTAAGCTTAAGTGGGTGTTTAAGAGAATGTCAAGAACTGTTAAGGATACTGTAAGCCATCAGTTCACCTCTAAGACGCCTATACTCTAATGGGTAAAGGTTTAGTGAATGAAGGCGTTCTTCGTAAGGTTTGGATTTGAGTCCTCGAACTGACTTCGTGGCTCGCCGTTGGATATGATTCAGAGTGTCCTTATTCTTTTGGAGTGAGGGAGAGAGTACTATGTTTTCGTACTCTAAATGGGGACGGACAAAAGTGTTGAAGATTACGTGGGAATTTCTTCCATCAAACTGGTCGAAAATGCGCTTCAACGTTACCAGTGCAAGGTTTGCTCGGAAGGCATTTTTGTCACAGTTAGCATAAGACTTCAAATCTTACGACACCAGCACTAGTAAATATTTTTGGACTCGGTATACTACTAGAGAGGAGTTTTCTAAGTTATAACCATAGTCTGCGACATGTCGCAGATGGACTACTTTACACTTTGAAGTGTTAAAGGTAAGTCCGTTATCGTCTGCCCAACTTTGAAGTCGAGCCAGATCCCCCTGAAGTGCCTGTATATCGTCTTGCTTGCGTATCTCTCTCCAAAGCTTCACGCCATCAGCTAAAAGTAATAGGTTTGACCGTACCTGTTGTGAAAGATAACTTATATAAATCAAGAAAAGAGGAGGTCCTAGTACTGAGACCTGGGGGACCCTACTAGGACATTCCATGGCCTCAGACAAAGTGAAATTAACCCTAACCTTAAGGTGTCGATTTTTTAGGTATGAAGTAAGCCAATCGATTAGAGGTGGTTTGATACCTAGTCGTTTGAGCTTATTGGTAAGACACAAGTGGTTAACCTTATCAAAAGCTTTTGAGAAATCAAGGTAAATGATATCAACCTTTCCCTTGCGATCGAGGATGCTTGTCCATCTGTCAACCGCAGTCAGCAGGTTAGTTTTACAAGAGTAACCCTTCCTGAGACCATGCTGTTGTGGTAAGAAGAAATTTAAGGACAGTAAAGTCATGTATACCGTCGCATATCAGGGACCCCATAATTTTTTAACGTAAAGAGAGAAGAGCCAACGGTCGATAGCTTGAAGTTTGTCTGCATTGACCACCTTTGAAAATTGGTATGGTTTGAGCCAGCTTCCAAATTTCCGGTAGTTTGCCTCAGCTTAGCGAGTGTGCGAACATCACGTCAAGAGGTGTTGACAGGATTGGAACTGCTTCCCTCAGTATAGCAGAGTGAACTATATCTGGGCCATGAGAAGTGACTTTTCTTGGATGCTGCAGTTTCCGAAACACTAAGTCAGCGCTCAGGTTCACTACGGAAAGTCCTGTGCAGTTGTAGATGAAGCTGTCATCACTATAGTTAATGTGGGTCGGTTGAAATTTCCGAGAGTATTGTTCAGCCAAAAGGTTAGCGGCCTCGTCGTTGTTATTGGTCGGGCCATTGAGACTTAGCAGTTGCGAAACTCCAGTTTTGGTTTGACGAAGAGAGGCTGTATAATAGAATAAGCCTTTCGGATTGGAGACAAATTTATCCATAAGCTTTATCTGATACTGAAGCCTGTCTTCTCTTATAGCCTTCGTGCATATGTTCCTTATATGTTTGCATTGCATGTACGCACCTTTGTTGTCAGTTCGTTTGTATTCTGCTCAAGAGTGCCTTTTGCGGCTTAGCAAACGAAGGGTGTGGTCTTGATAATTGTAAATTGTTTGTAGCTATTGGAGACCGTTTGAGGAACTGACTGCTTTGTAGCACATAATAGCGTGTGCAGTAAAACGTCCCAATGAGCATCCACACCAAGTTGAGTGTGAAAATCGCAAACCCATTGTTGTAGATAGTCGTGTAGAGCTGACACGTTCAATCGTTTGAAATTCTAGCACCTGTTGTTGGTGGGATATCTTAGCTCAGTTTTGCTAACTAGACTGAAGGCTATAATGGCGTGATCGCTTTTCCTCAGGGGAGCCAGGATTTAGAGGTTGTCAACTAAAAATTTTTCGTTTGTAAATACACGACCTAAGCGCGACGGTATCTGACTGTTTCTCCAACGTGTTGCCGACTTCACATTTTCGTATGATGCCAGATCCGCAATGATGTTGAAGAACCGGGCTTCAATTGAGTTTTCACCTCCAATATACGTATGTTCCGCGAAACTGACTCTAGGGAGATTGAAGTTCCCTGGAATCAGGACATGAGTGAATCCGAGACGCGTAGAGCGGGGTAGTCCTCCCAGCATACGACTCCCATAGTCGATGTCGGCAGTGGTCTTCCTATAGATGACCCCGTATCTTTAATTATGATCTGGATGTTATTGTGTCTTATCTTTTGGCTCCTTCCAGCATTAATAATCTCCGAGGTCATAGCAAGAAGGTTCAAAAACTGCGATCTAATAAACTTAAAGTGGGGTCCCGTTTTTTTCATCGAGTAGTCAATGGATGGAACGCGTTACCCGAACATGTGGTACAGCTCCATCAGTGAATATTTTCAAGGAGAAGCTGGAACTTCACTATATGTCAATCTGTCAGGATTAACATAGGTTCACCAACCTACTATCCTTATCAAGCCACCTACAGTAATCAAGAACCGTACCCTTCGTCTGCTAAGCCGCAAAAGGCACTCTTGAGCAGAATACAAACGAACTGATAACGACGGAGCGTATAGGCAATATAAACATATAAGGAACATATGCTTGAAGGCTATAAGAGAAGACAGGCTTCAGTACCAGACAAAGCTTATGGATAAATTTGCCTCTTACCCTAGAGGCCTATTCCGCTATGCAGCCTCTCCTCGTCAAGCCAAAACAGGAGCTTCTCAACTGGTAGGTCTTAACGGCCCGACCAACAACGATGGCGGCGCCGCTGACCTTCTGGCGGCACATTACTCTCAAACATTTCAACCGGCTGACATCAACTTTACTGACGACATTTTCATCTGCAATTCCACAGGACTTTCCGAAGTGGACCTAAGCGCTGACTTGGTGTTCCGGAAATTGCAGCACTTAAGACTAGATACTTCTCCTGGCCCGGATATGGTTCATCCTGCCATACTGAGGGAGTCAGCCTCAATCCTGGCAACGCCGCTAAACGTGATGTATTCGCACTCGCTAAGCCGAGGAAAATTGCCGGAAAATTGGAAGTTGGCTCACATCACACCAATTTTCAATGAACCTTCAAGTTACCGGCCGGTAGCTCTTCTGTCGTTACCTTCAAAACTCATGGAGTCCCTGATATGCGACGGTATACATGACTTTACTGTCCTTAAATTTCTTCTTACCACAACAGCATGGTCTCAGGAAGGGTTACTCTTGTAAAACTAACCTGCTGACTGCGGTTGACAGATGGACAAGCATCCTCGATCGCAAGGGAAAGGTTGATATCATTTACCTTGATTTCTCAAAAGCTTTTGATAAGGTTAACCACTTGTGTCTTACCAATAAGCTCAAACGACTAGGTATCAAACCACCTCTAATCGATTGGCTTACTTCATACCTAAAAAATCGACACCTTAAGGTTAGGGTTAATTTCACTTTGTCTGAGGCCATGGAATGTCCTAGTAGGGTCCCCCAGGTCTCAGTACTAGGACCTCCTCTTTTCTTGATTTATATAAGTTATCTTTCACAACAGGTACGGTCAAACCTATTACTTTTAGCTGATGGCGTGAAGCTTTGGAGAGAGATACGCAAGCAAGACGATATACAGGCACTTCAGGGGGATCTGGCTCGACTTCAAAGTTGGGCAGACGATAACGGACTTACCTTTAACACTTCAAAGTGTAAAGTAGTCCATCTGCGACATGTCGCAGACTATGGTTATAACTTAGAAAACTCCTCTCTAGTAGTATACCGAGTCCAAAAATATTTACTAGTGCTGGTGTCGTAAGATTTGAAGTCTTATGCTAACTGTGACAAAAATGCCTTCCGAGCAAACCTTGCACTGGTAACGTTGAAGCGCATTTTCGACCAGTTTGATGGAAGAAATTCCCACGTAATCTTCAACACTTTTGTCCGTCCCCATTTAGAGTACGAAAACATAGTACTCTCTCCCTCACTCCAAAAGAATAAGGACACTCTGAATCATATCCAACGGCGAGCCACGAAGTCAGTTCGAGGACTCAAATCCAAACCTTACGAAGAACGCCTTCATTCACTAAACCTTTACCCATTAGAGTATAGGCGTCTTAGAGGTGAACTGATGGCTTACAGTATCCTTAACAGTTCTTGACATTCTCTTAAACACCCACTTAAGCTTAGTCCCAATAAAAACCTAAGGGGTAACACCCAGATATTGGAGATACATTACAGCAGAACGGACTGTAGACATAAATTCTACTCCTTAAGAGTTGTCAAATGCTGGAATTCGCTGCCGGCCGAGTTGGTCCAAGCGACTTCCCAGGAGTCCTTTAAGAAGCAACTTGATCTATTCTTAAGAACCAAGGACAGCATCACACTATGATTTGTCAATTTCTTTTCCTCTTTTATTGTTAACATACCTAGGTTCCTGCCTGGAGGATTTGGTGATCCCGTGCTACTAGACACGGAAGCCTGTTAAGCGAAAGCTTCTTCTATCCCATCCACAACCATTTGAAGCATTTTAATCAATGAAGTCTAAAGACTGACTGAAATAAGTTGGCTCGAGATTGAAAATCTCAAGGTTGGAGGTTCGTCAGTGGCTTGATGGACGCCGTGAGTTAGAATTACATTATTAGAAACAAGTAAGTCTCTTCATCAATTCAATGCACATATAAGATGTGCTTTAAAATTCAGGATCTCAGATTAACTATTTCTAGTATCGATTATCGCATAAATATAGTCAAAACAATTTTCCTAGTTTCACGTTTGTTTGGTTGCTAATTGTCATCGATTGCTTTCACCATCAAATTTTAGTGCTTCTCGTGTGCCTGGAGGGAGGTCCTCCTTCAACATAAACCGTACCTTCAAACCAGGTATAAACTTCAACATGGTGACTTTCAAACCATTACTAGTTTTTAAAGACGAATTTACAATTGTTATTTCAGAGTAGGATTGGGGTTCAAGTTATAATTAAATTATTTACTTATTTTATATACATATTAACTGTAGAGCCTATGCAACCCCCTGTGGATTGAAAACAATCGTTTGGGGATAATTTAGGCTTAGGTGATATAAAAAATGTATGCATATAGATGTATGTTAAGCCTTTCACTCCCCAGTCAATTATGACCTTGGCCATTATATCAGCAAGCAAAGTTCATGTATCGCTGATCAAGATCTTGGCTCCTGTATCAATATGGTGTTTTTTTGCGGGACTTAGTGAAACAAGTAAGAGCGATCATTTAGATGCCATGCTTGACTATAAATATATCGGCCAAGTATTTATATCTTGATAGGTTGTGAAGCTGGTGTATTTGCTAAAAAATGATTTTACTGGAGAAGGCAGTAGAATAATCTGAATTTCCTACAAATTAGATGAAGCTAAGTCTTAGGTAATAAATATATAGTTACCCAGTTTCAGTTTAACCTTTAAAAGGTAGCACACTGGAAAGCCTGTATTCATCTTGGGTATGAGGATCTCTCTTCATCGAACCTACTTTTGAATGTGTTTTCCGAGAGAGCTGTAGCCATGTGCGAAGACGTGAATAATTAGCCCACTTTTAGTGTCTGATTCTTGTATGGATTTTCATCCGAGTGATTATTAAAATACGTTTCATCCTTTATGTACTCACTTTTGTTGGAATTTCATATCCCTAACGATATTATTGAGAATCACTTTGTACGTTTTTTCAGCTATGGAGGTACCATACATAAATTGGATGAGGAGTATCAGTGTTTATGAAAGCCCCTCGCACATCTACCTCGTTGGTTCTGATGTTGGGGAACGCCATTTCCGAATTCTCAAGATCGCTCGTGCTCCTGTTCCCTTAAAGGAAGATCACTTGTGGCTTGATAAAGAGTGTAGTGCTTCTGAAGCAACTGTTGAAGCAGAAAGTTTAGTTGATCGAATATGGCGTCTGAATATAATTGAGGATCCTCATATTTATTCCAAATCAGAATTAGCACGATTGCTGCATGTTATCCAGGCAACTAGTCGGGTACGTTTGCAATATCGACTTAGAATTTTAGTGAATATCATCCCATTTCATTTATCGGGTATGTACTACTGGATACAACAAAGTTATGTAAAAATTCCTGTACTTTTTAGTTTCGTGAGGTATTATGTACTACTGTCAAACCCTAAGTAACACAATTCGATCTAGATAACCGTCTTGTCCTCTCCTTTCTCTTCATGAATATAGTCTTAGACAAACACGGCTTAGATCAGATTACTTAACTATGTAGCCGGTCATAATTATTGGTTCCGAACCAAAATAAACTAAATTAATTTTGTATACTAATTTCCAATATAAAAAAATGCAATTATAATTGATAAACAATCAATGAAATAGCTATTTGGTCGTTTCATAAGTCACGATTTTGTAAGTTCTCGACCTAGTCTCATTTTCTAACGCCTTTCTGTCAACTAAGATCTGTCATTTGTGTCCAAACACCGTAGGTGTATAGTGGGTGGCTAGGATCCGCACGATAATGATATCTAATAATATTACTCTGGTTGGAAAGTAAGTGATATGAATTGTGGTCAGTCTCAGTAACTTCGGTGCATTTACTCCTCATCTTTCTGATGCTCTTAAGTTTTAATACTATTTCACAATCTTTATACTCTTCACTTTTTTTTTGAATTTGTGTAGCCTTTCTCACTGCCATTAATACCATTATAACTTCAACTTTTTTACTGTTCATCTTTTCGACTTCCATTATACTGATGTGGTTATGATTGTCTGAGTCATGTGACAAATGTAATGTGCATCAGTGTTGTACGACTAAAGCGTACTCTGTCGAAGCACAACATATACTTAGGCTGTAGTTATTTCCCCGTACATGTCCTCGAAGTATCGCATGCCTATGAAAATTACCATTGGATAATGCCTAATCTCCAAGTGGGCTACTAAGTGAAAGGGGAAAGTCAGTAGATGAGCTTATGAACCCTTACTGATTGAAGTGATTGGACTTCTGTCATTCTTTTCTAGCTACCGTCTATCCTAATGTCCATTGGGTTGCGTATTTATTTATTGTAACACAGATATTGGTACAAGGAGGCACCAAATACATATGCGCCACACAAATCAAATGAGGTTTGTGTGAGGGCTGTGATACTGCCCGCGTGCCCAAACCGAAGCAGGTGGTTTTCTTAGGGGGCCACACCCAGAGCCTTCGGCCTGAAGGTTTGATCCACAAGGCAGTGGAGCATCGTAAGGAGATGCAATCCCATGGTAACCGGTGACCAACGATTGGTTCACACGCCATTCGTTCCTTCAGGATACTGGAGCCCATGTGCACCATTGGTTTGGAATCAGGGTTTTCTAACTCCCGTGGGTGGACTCTCCATGTCCACCAACCCGGTTAAAGCACCGGACATTCGCTTTTCGTTCACAATTTGGTAAACAACAGTAATGCTACGAGAAGGCAGTAAGACTTCCCTGGCAGAGGCTATATACGCGTGGCCATGTGAGAGCATTTCGAGAGGGAGAGCGGACTCTTCCGACTCTAGGCCGTATCAGGGCATTTGGGGGCTGGGTTGTGAATAGTTGGAAATGAACTAAACAAGAAGTGTTGACCCGTCGTCCTATGGTGGAAGGTACTTTTTTCGTAGTTTGGACCAACGTAATACTCGTGATCAACAACTGGAGATGTTGGGTGACATGGATCGAAATCGGTCACAGTGGCGCAGTTGCATTCATGCTCTATCTCCCCTTGGACTTTGGGTTAAGGGACATTCCTCAGATTTCTTTCTTCGATCTGCTTTGTTCTTTTCGAAACGTGTTTGTCTTGTGTGCATTGTCGTTGCATTTACTTTTTTATCCCACTCTACTTCTAGTCTTTCCGATTTCGTTCGCTTTACTGATATGAGGTATGGCAACTTAACATACATTAGTGTCAGACCTAATTGCAACTATGATTGACTGAGTTAAATATAAATTATTTCTTGGACAATCAGTTTAAAACCCATTCATCCTATTAGCATGTATTTTTGCTGACAAAAAATTATTATGTGTACTTGAGTAAAAAATGTCTCCAATCATCAAAATTATGGAAATCTAGATAGCATATATGATGTTCGTTTTGTAGTCATAATATTTAATTTGTTTTAATTTGCACTTACAGTTTTATTTGTGCATATTATTTTAAACCCTACCCATAAATTATCTTATGTAATTATGTGAAATATTCTGATATTCGTAGCGTTTCCATTCACAAACTAGTTCTCATGGTAACGACAAGTTGGAGCCATCAAAATCTCCTAAATGGTCACTTTTTTCAAAGCGTCGGACTCAGGAACATTTGCCCAAAATCGACGAAACTTCATCTATTTCGAATTTAAATATATCTAACGATATGCTTTCTAATCCAAAGGATTTACAGCAAGCTGCAGCTTCTGCTCTGTTCACTGGCAGCAGTAAACGTTCTCTAGTTTTAGTTACAAAATGCTATGGGGTCGTTGGAGTTGTACGATTTCTACGTGGTTATTACCTTATCTTAATTACTAAATACTCAGTGGTTGCACAATTAGGTGAACATCAAATCTGTAAGGTCAGCACACGTTTTAAACGTTTTCTTGTTTTTCTTTTCATTCAAAACGAATCAGCTGGAAAAATGGGGCTTTATTAGTTAGTTAATAAGACGCTGTTATTATGCTTAAAATAACTGAATTAAATGACTCAATCAATATATGACTTCATGCTTGACCCTTCCTAAAGGACACATAGTTTCAACTCCATCAACTGGGAGTTTTCATATTTTAATTGACAGCATAGTTCTCCATGGAGTTTACCACTTCATGAACAACTTATATGGTAAGCAATCATTATTATTTCAACTTAAATTGTCATCATTGGTTATATTTTTACGACGTCATAGTAATTACTTACCTGTAGTCGCATAAAAAGACATTTTCATTAATTACTTGTCTCATCAAAATTTTAAATGTTTAGAAGCTACACTTTCAAAGGATATGGAATCCACTAAACTCAATTCCATGGTTTTTATTAGTATCGATAGGTCTTGACATAGTGCATATACCTGACAGTGCGAAACAACCTTTCATTATTTCCATTGATTTTGCGATAGATATTAGCTTGTAGTAGTGTTGTGGATGCGGAAGAATAGACCAATAATTATCGTGTTAAGTCTATGGTGTCCTTGGACCTTAAATGTACATTTCTTATTGGTCGATGTTTATTTCACTTGTTAAATATTTTGTAAATGTTGTTTCCTATTTTATGGTACGATGTGGTATGCTTGATTGGTATATAAACGAATTATGTTTGAAATATGATGATTCATATCTCCGAGGCTGTGACTTGTGTTCTGGACTCAACTGACTGGGCTAGACAGGGAAGTGAGACCAATCGAGACTCTAGGCCGTCCGTACGTGTTTACGTGTCATTGAATCGATCGATAACACAGGGTAAAAGTCAACCACAATTTAAAGTCATAAAAAGTAGTAACTATCTCCAACCAAACATGTGCATTGAAGAACACTTCATTTGTTTAGCCTCCAACTTTTACTTAAGTTTTAGTAATTTGATGCACTGTAATGACTGGATTAAATGAAGTGAAAGGATGTCCAATTTATTCTTTGTTTTAAAGTATCATTATGACTAGTCACTTATTTGGTTAGAAACAATCGGTAAAAGGTATCGTAAACTAATAATTATCCCTACTATTTCCCTTCGGAAAATGGAAATAAACTATGTGTTGCATTAGTTTCTGTATGAAAACTTCTTGTTGTCTCATATGTTAATTTACTCTGTTCAAACAAATAGTTAGTATCGATAGCCCGTACACAATGAGTGTTTTGGTTTTGGAACTTAATTTCGTAGATTTTTCCTATCAACCTACACGTTGATTTTCCAGAAAATAAACGGTACGTTTCTTCTCAAACTAGTATTTCTGACGCAATTTAAAATGGTTTGGATTACCTCATTGTTGATATTTTTTAATGAAACTCAATCAGTTTGGTTGACATATGGGCATCCTGCGCGGATTATCCTGATGTGACCATTAGGAAAAAACGCGTGTCCTAGATTCCGCTGCTAGCCATATTTCGTCTATTCTATATCTAGCTGTATTTCTGTTCTTGGCACACCTAATAAAGTTGATAAACTTTTCCGCCTTTTAAGAAGTTCCCATATGATTATACTTTGGTGGTTGTTAAGTGCCTATCACTGACAGAAACAGATACACCCAGTTGACTGGTAAATAGTTTGACGAAATCGCCATTTAAAGCAATTAGTCCCTTTGATAAATTTCGATAATGTAATACATCTAAATCGCCATTGTTAATTCCTATGACAGCCCATTCTAAATATTATCATGATCTAAACTTGTTACACTGACTTTCTAATTTGATGTATAATCACTTTACTATCCTTTGTTTGCACATTGGTCTCAACACTTTATATTTTCTTGTATTCAAAGGTTGAAGATACTGCTATACTTTATATTCCTGGCAATGATTTTGTTGATGAACGTGGACTTGCAAATAATGGTTCCAGAAGTCATTATTCTTCAATGTCTTCTTTAAATAGTACAGTTTCACAAGATCTTGATAACGATTCTTGCTCTAATGAAGATGAACAACAAACAGGATTATTTCATCTTATTAAAAGTTCTATAGGACGTAAGAAACTCTCCAGTGATGAAATGCGATATTTAAAGCTATTTAGCAGTGTAGATTTAGCTAGCAACTTTTACTTTAGTTATACCTATGATTTATCTCATAGTTTACAATATAACATGGAGCCTGTAAGTTCTATAATTTCATTTATTATTAATTTTCGTTGTTTACTAAATGTACATTAGTTATCACCAAATGGCTAAATAGTTAAAAAAAAGTGAGAAAAATTGCAGAAAACAAGCTGATATGAAATAATTAGATACATAATATTTGAGGTAGAATAAATGTGTGTGTAGAGCGTTGTATGAGACGTATCTCTATAATCTTTTTACCGATTTCCTCCTCATCCTGTTTTTTTGTTATTTTTCTTGTTGCTGATGAATACATACATATTATAACTGGAAAGAAATAAAATCACAATATGCTATTATCCTTACTGCTTGGTGATATTTGTACTTCGATCCCCAGAATACGTGATAGTTTTGCAACCTATAAGCTAGACTTTTTTCTTGTTGGTATCGCCCTCCCAAGTTTAGCCGGTATCTTAGGAGCTATTAGACATTTTAGTATGTGACAGTAACCTGATTGGACCCCGTAAACAATGTTACTGCTTCGTCGTTATACCTATTTTTCTTCGAGAAACTGAATATACTACACTACCTCTTAACTCAACTCTGTCCCAAACGGCAATAATGATTCGGTGAAATAGTGCAAATAAACTAACTGAAAGTTATAGTGCTCAAACTGTTCCATGTACTGTCTTTAGTGAACATGTACTACCGTCCATATCAAAACATAACTAACGGTTCATTCATATCATATTCTTAGTATTTCTGCATATATTATCAGTTTGTACACTATTGATAAGTTTATCACCACTGTATCTATCTTTTGCTATGGAGTGTAAACAATCACTAAATGTCGTACTGTAAAATCATTCCACTCAAACTTTTATGCTATCTATTACACTCACTGTTTCACATTCTCTTTGTAAAATTTATTCAAAATACTCATTTTTAAGTTACTTGGAGATCATGTTATTCCAGATAAAGTAGACTTGAATTTATTTGTATTATTACCTAAAAATTTGTATAAGCCTGACCAGGCCTGTAAGCTGGCATTTATTCTGCACTAATTTGCAAAATATAGGTTTTATTGGAATAAACAAAGTTTCAATGGGCAACACCCATAACATAGACTAAATAATTAAAAGGGCAAAGGAATTCTATCACATGTATGTAAATATTTTTTAAATAGGTAAAATGCAATTGCTTAGTATTAGTGGTACATTACGATAGGTAAGAATCAAATATTACCAGATCCGGATGTTGATAACAACATAAACCCTCAAATAGTAATGGGTGGTATAGTCTGATAGCCGAAAGGAAGCGATCAAGGTGGAAATAAATTTATATGGAAGAGAAGGGATCAAATACGGGTTAATCAGTGTTCAACCTATACCATTTAAAAAGAGAGTTATCAATGTCGAAGTATGTCGTCCTGCCTTTTGATCAACAGAAATTTCATACTTAACATTTGATTACACGGTTTTATATTATACTATCTAGCTTTCTTCAACACCTATGTAAAGTTTCTTTGTTGAGAAACGTCAAGAATACTGATTGATGGTTAGTTTCTTATAGTTATTAAGCAAACTTGTTGAAATGTTTGGGCATCATTCATGCTTATTGACATGAACCTATGTCAACCACACACTAATGATCCAAAAACCTATACTTTTGTTTCGAACTCACTAACGATCCAACCAGATTGTTTTTCCTTTAAAAAATCCTGTCGCAAAAATATCAGTGTTGTAGATGTTTATAATTATACTGGCGAACTGTAATCGATATGGTTGATATCCATCATTACACGATGTAGTTCTCCTAATATCCTGCTCTTTTTTCTTGGATTGTGATAAACACTCAGCTATTAGAAACATCTACACATCTTTTAGAATTTATATTTTTCCCTCTCTTTCTTATGAATATTACTTTTTTGCACAATGGAAAAAATTATCATTCCGCTAATAAATACACAAGTTTTATTCACGTTACTGTTCCAGTGTAACACTAAAAAATATATTTATTGTTCATAAAACATGTTCTACAGAGCATCTCGTTTAGATTTCCTTATTACTTTGTGATTTAACGATACATAGTTAGTTTTCGATCATATATGCCAGTCAAAGTATGCTCATAATTCTGTGAACATGCAAGTCTCACACTTAATTCTTGTCCCATCTGTGAGTACCTATTCCATAAGCTATACCACATAGGTATCATGCTATTTAGAGCGTATGTAATTATCTGATTTCTTTTTTTTTCAAGTTATTTAAGTCTGATTGTCAAGAATATATCCATCTACTAACATCAAAATATATACCCAATGATAAGTATGTTTGGAATTGGAGATTAATTCCACCGAGATTTCGACCAGGGTGTAACCGTAATGGCTCTCGTCTCATTAGTGATCAGCCTGAATGGTTCACTTTGTTATTTCATGGTAGTATTAGTCAAATAGCCTTATCTGCTTGCCGAATGCCAATGATGGTTACTCTTATTGCCCGTAGATCAAGGCATTTCGCTGGTCGCCGATTTTTGAAACGTGGCGTTAATTTGGTTGGTGATGTTGCAAATGAAGTAAGTATGATTCTGTGCCCGTTCTTTTAACTTTATCATGCAATTTTAAGGCAGCTTTTCTCTTATAACGGTAATTCCTTATGCATTGTGATTCGTTTTCAAAATCGATTCTCGAAACTAATTAATATCATTTAGAATCCAACTAAAGAGCATCAGATATAAAGAATGCCCCCAAATGCCCTGATACGGCCTAGAGTCGGAAGAGTCCGCTCTCCCTCTCGAAATGCTCTCACATGGCCACGCGTATATAGCCTCTGCCAGGGAAGTCTTACTGCCTTCTCGTAGCATTACTGTTGTTTACCAAATTGTGAACGAAAAGCGAATGTCCGGTGCTTTAACCGGGTTGGTGGACATGGAGAGTCCACCCACGGGAGTTAGAAAACCCTGATTCCAAACCAATGGTGCACATGGGCTCCAGTATCCTGAAGGAACGAATGGCGTGTGAACCAATCGTTGGTCACCGGTTACCATGGGATTGCATCTCCTTACGATGCTCCACTGCCTTGTGGATCAAACCTTCAGGCCGAAGGCTCTGGGTGTGGCCCCCTAAGAAAACCACCTGCTTCGGTTTGGGCACCCGGGCAGTATCACAGCCCTCACACAAATCTCATTTGATTTGTGTGGCGCATATGTATTTGGTGCCTCCTTGTACCAATATCTGTGTTAAAATAAATAAATAGATAAAAAGATATGAAAAATAATTATTTCATTTTAGTTTGAAATTGTTTAAATTTACTTTTTGAACTGTCGAGTCCCATTTTGAACAAAGGAAGCGGTTTCAAATATTGTAATATGTAGTAACCTTAGTATAGAGCGGCTCGTAATAGACAGCGAAGCGCTCGTACAAGGCGCATAAAAGTACTACTAAATTTTCATAGCAACAATAGTGACTTAATTGTAATATCCTAATTAGTAGAAAATTGAATTTCTGACATTTCTCGGCTTTGTCTAAGTTGATTCTTTCACGGAATCGGTAAATTTTCAGCATAGGGTTGCAGAGATTGTTAAATTTCATTGAAATTATGAACCTGCCTAAGTTAGACCGGCATTGGAAACCTGGAAGCACTAGAATAGGACGGCCGTCCAGTGCTTCCAGGTTTCCAATGAAGTTAAAGCTATAATCGACAATCATCACAGTCAGTCAGTCAGTCAGTAACAACGTAGAACTTCGTACGTACGTACATCAGTTCGAGTTGCCACACCACATTAGCACAGAGATGCAGTTGTCGATTCAAATCCCGTAGTGGTAGAGGTAATAAGAGTATAAGCAGTAATCGGGAAGATTAGGGTTTGGAGATGTTATTTAAAGAGTATAATCCAGTGAAATAAATTTGGAAAGAGGAAAAAAGGGACATGAAGGATTCAGAAGATTAGAATTTGGGAGAACACAGAGAGTGGATGCACCTGCGCCATTGCAAACGATTTTGAGCCATGTCATTCAGGGTCTCTAACCATCGGTTGCTATCATCTCGCGGTCCCCAACCAGGTAGTCTACACCTACCAACATGACTCAGTTCACTTGTCAGTGACTTCATGGACTTGTGCCATGTTTTGGTTTGGCCGCCCCTAGCTTTCTTCCAACCTACTCCTATACCACTGAACATAGCACGTCGAGGCAGTCGGTCGTTGGGCATACGTAACACGTGTCCCAGCCATCTCAACTGATGAAGTTTCACTACTTCATCAATTGATTTGCCATCCTTACCTAGTACCCGTTTCCTAACAACTGTGTTACTTACTCGATGGTCCCATGATATACGAGCAATATTTCGAAGACACCTATGATCAAATACTAGTAACCTACGAATATCCTCTACTCTTACCGGCCATGTTTCACTGCCATAAAGTAGGACGGAACGAACTGCTGCGCAGTAAACACGTCCTTTGGTTGATAGACGGATATCTCGCCTACGCCATAAATGACGCAAGTTGGCAAAAGCTAGTCGAGCCTTCTGTATCCGTGCTGAGATTTCGTCACACACCAAACCACAAGGGCTGATGAGACTTCCAAGATAAGTGAAGCGGTCGACACACTCAACTACTTCACTCCCTATCACTAGTTCGGGTGTCGATGTAACCCAATCCTGAAGCAACATTTTGCATTTCGAGGGAGAGAATCGCATCCCGAACATGCTTGCATTGTTGCTTAGAGTGGTCAGAAGACTCTGCATTTTGTCAGCGTCTTCACCAAATAAAACTATGTCATCAGCATATTCTAAGTCAACAAGTGAACCTCCCGGTAGAAGTTCAACCCCTGGAAATTTAGATGAGGAGAGTGTTATCTCTAAAAGTACGTCGACCACAAAGTTGAACAAGAATGGGGAGAGTGGACAGCCCTGACGAACACCACTTGAGGTAATCAATTCTGATGACAGTTCGCCATAAGCTCTCACTCTACCAGTTGTGTTCGAGTAGAGAGCCTTTATAAGGTTAATGTACTTCTTTGGTACTCCTTTCAGTGACAAACACTGCCATAGAACCTCACGATCAACAGAGTCGAATGCCGCCTTAAGGTCGAGAAATACTACCATTGTGGGGCGTCTGAATGTGTGTCTGTGTTCTAGAACCTGACGTAGTGTGAATATCTGATCTATACAACCACGTCCAGGTCGAAAACCGGCCTGGTTTTCTCTAATCTGCTCTTCACGAGCTTTGATTAGGCGTCGAAGTATTATTGAAGCTAATATTTTAGACACTATATTAGTCAAACTGATTCCTCTGTGATTGTCACAAGAGGACTTTTGTCCTTTCTTATAGACTGGCACAATCAGTGATTGAGACCAGTCAGATGGGATTACGTCCAGTTCCCAAATTCTACCTAAGACCTCGGTTAATCTCATTGCTAATACTGGACCACCATCCTTAAAAATCTCAGGAGTAAACCTGTCAGGGCCTGCTGCTCTCCCTCGTTTCAGATTTCCTATGGCTTTTTCAACTTCGTAAAGGGACGGAGGACCTACATTAACTTGCCATTCAGGTTGACTGGAGATCGTGGGAAACCGAAGTGTGGCTGAAGGCCAGTTGAACTGATCCCTAAAGTGTTCTGCCCATCGATCCAATCTCCTGGATTGAGAATGAATAATATGTCCATCTTTCTCTGAGATTGTTTCGCTAACAGTCGGTTTCCTTAACGAGTCTGAACAATTGTCTGCTATTACCTATTGCCGCTGCCTTTTCCATCTCTCTTGCTTTCGCTACCCACCACTGTTCGCGATCATTGCGTAGACTTCTTGTCAGCTTGCGCTTAAGCTGACTCCGCTCTTCATTATGTTCAGAGCCAGGTGGAATGAGTTTCCGAGCATCTATCAGTGCGATAGATGCTGCTGAGATCCAGTGTTGCTCCCTAACCTTCTGGTTTACCTTACTAGCAGATATCACTGCTGTTTCCACAGCTTTTCGGATATCATTCCATGCTGCATCGGGGTGGGCATCACATACATGGCTGCCTAACTGTTTTCCTAGTTGTTCCTGAAATATACTCTTAGCTTGACTATCATTAAGTAGGCCCTAAGAGGTTTCCTTGCAGCGTCTTTCCTACGTCCAGTAAGACGCAAGCAAATACGCGCTCGCACTAGAGCATGATCTGAATCTAGGCATGTGCTCCAGAATGAGCGACAGTCTTCTATCGAGCCCCTCCATCGGTGGCTGATAGCGATGTGATCTATTTGGGTCCAACGTTGGGACGAATTAGGAGGTCGCCATGTTAAAAGATGTTTTTCCTTATGCTTAAAGTTAGTATTTGCAAGGAACAGGCGGTTATCTGAGCATAGCTGCAACAGACGGTCGCCATTATCTGTTCTTTGAGCCACGACACCATAAGATCCACCTAGGTGTCTTTCCCTATCGCTAAGTTTACCTACTTGAGCTTTCTGTAAAACTCATCTTTTACATCATCTGAGCTGCAGTCAGTGGGAGAATAGGCAGAGACGACGAAGAGGCAACGACGAGTGTCCCTATCTTTCCGGATTCTTACTGTTCCGTTCAGTCGGACAGCGCACAAACGACTGTCTACTGGGATCCACTCTAACAGGGCTAGTTCTGCTCTAGGACTCAATGCTATACCTACGCCTGCGAGGCCACGGGAAGCAGAATCAGGGCTTCCAGATACACGAAGCGTAAATCGAGTCGGTTCTTTATTTTGGCATGGTGAGGTCAGATGAGTGACGCTACTTGGATCCTGTATGCGCGTTTCGGAGACTCAGCACACATCGATGGCGCGAGATTCTAAAGTTTTAGCTAAGGAAGCCTGCTGTCCTATTTGGCACAGTGTTCGGACGTTAAAAGCTCCTACGTGTAGTTTAGAGCGTGGTTTCAGGAGACCAGGAATGGCGTTCCACGTACTCAAATCGTTTGCCCTAGCGGTGCGAGGTGATAAAGAGACGTGAGGAGGGTTAGTCATGGAGATAAGAGAGGTATTAGGAGGTGTAGGAAGGATTTGAATGTGACCACCTTGGTCTCTTGTGCTGTTACGGGTATGAGGGCTGATGTCACTTCCCGGCTGCCCACACCGTGGAAGGGTATTTCTTGAGGAACCTGAAAAGGAAATTGGATTACTGTTGGTCTTGACGACCTGGGAGCGTGACCGCAGAGCCCAAGGGACAACTGCTTGAGGCCGGTCGCACACGGCCTTTTTGTGGAAGGTTTTTGACGTGTTAGCTCCGTTCTTCAAAGGGCCTTACCACCGGAGACGGAAATCCGTAACGTAAGGTGAGGTGTGACATTTTTAGGGTCGACCTTTTCTAACCCCACCCCTCCTTGTGGGAAGGCAGCATCGATGTCATGCTGGTTGTCCGAAGGAAACAACTTACTGCTGTCACACCCCTCTACAGTCAGCAGTACGACTTCGCCCTCAGACCTTGAGTTGCTGCTTTTAGTCTTACCGTTCACCAGTCGACCTGCCTGGCATGGTAGAACCTACAGGAACATATGTTCCAGCCAATATAGCTCGGTTGGGTCATCACGATAGGCAAGCCCGACCACCGCGTCAAGGTAGTAGCTTC